ATCTACTTTAATTCGTTCGGAAGCTGGAGTGATTTCCACAGACGGAGAGACGGACGGACATCGCTAAATCTACATAGAATTTTATGCTGAAAAAATACCAAAAGTCAACGTCAACTAAAATCTTTTTGTATTTTTCGTAAAAAAATATTTTTTGAGGACATGGAAGTTAATTTTTTTTCAAGGACCAACATTCTAGGTTTATTTTGGTAAATATTTTTTGAAGGCCTAAGAAACAACGTGGATTTTTAAAAAAAAAAATATTTTTTCAAGGACCTAAATTCAAATAGTATCTACCCGACTTTTTTTAATACATCTGGTAAGGGGGTTTCCTTGATTTTTTTAGAAATTTCAAGTAAAAACTTTTTGTATTTTTCTTAAAAAAAAATTTTTTTGAGAACCTGGATTTTTAATTTTTTTCCAAGGACCAAAAGTCAACGTAGATTTTTGTATATATTTTTTTTTTCAAGCCTAAGAAGCAACGTGGATTTTTAAAACATATATTTTTCAAGAACCTAAACTCAAGTAGGATCTTCCCGTGGATTTTTAAAAAAAAAAATTTTTTTCAAGGACCAAAATTCAAGTAGTTTCTACCCGGCTTATGTTTTTTTTAATACATCTGGTAAGGGATTTTCCTTGAATTTTTTTAGAATTTTCAACTAAAATCTTTTTGTATTTTTCTTAAAAAAAATTTTTTTTTTTGAGAACATGGATTTTTAAAATTTTTTTTCCAAGGACCAAAAGTCCACGTAGATTTTTGTAAATATTTTTTTAAAGCCTAAGAAGCAACGTGGATTTTTAAAAAATATTTTTTCAAAAACCTAAACTCAAGTAGGATCTTCCAGGATTTTTTTTTTTGAATACATCTGTTTTAGGATTTTCCTGGATTTTTTTAAAAAAGATCAATTGTTCACAAGGATTTTTTACAAAAAAAAATTAAGGAGTTAAAAATATCGTGAATTTTTAAAAATCTTTTTCATTTATGTATCGTTGTTTTTAAAATTTTTTTCCAAACCAAAAAACCAAAGTCAACGTAGATTTTTGTAAATATTTTTTTAAAGCCTAAGAAGCAACGTGGATTTTTAAAAAATATTTTTTCAAAAACCTAAACTCAAGTAGGATCTTCCCGGATTTTTTTTTTTTTTTTTGATACATCTGTTTAAGGGTTTTCCTGGAATTTTTTACAAAAATTTTTTAAAAAAAATTTAAGGAGTTAAAAATACCGTGAATTTTTAAAAATCTTTTTCATTTATGTATCGTGTTTTTTTAAAAAATAGATATATTTTTTTTCAAGCACCAAAATCAAGTAGTTCGGTTTTTATAAGGATTTTCCTGGATTTTTTTTTTTCAAAGATTAACGACCAATAATGCACAAGGAGTTTTTTTTTTCATATTTTTTGAGGAATTGAAAGTAAGTTGAAAATAATTTCCAAGGTCCTGGAGGCATCGTGGAATTTTAAAAGATATTTTTTTCAAAGAACAAAACTCATGTAGGACCTTTCCCGAATTTTTTTTAATACATCTTTTAAAGGATCTTCCTGGATTTTTTTTAAATCTTTTTCAAGGACTTAGAAGCAACGTGGAATTTTAAACATATTTTTTGAGGACCAAAATTCATGTGGGATCTCATGAGATTTCTTAAAAATAATTCAAGGAGAACACGTTGATTTTTCATAATTATTTTTCAAGGGCCAACACTTACCCTAGATTTATTAGATCAATTTTCAATAGATCTAAAGTGAAAGTGTTATTTCAAAAAATATGTTTTTTAACAACCGAATATCAACTAAAATCTTTATGAATTTTTTATAAAATATTTTTTGAGGACCAACATTTTTTTTAAATGTTTTTTTTTTTTTCAAGGACCAGCGTAGATTTTTGTACGTACACGGATGTGTTTATATTTTTTTTTTTTTGAGGAGTTAAAGGTATCGTTGTTTTTAAAAATAATTTTAAAAAGGTCAAAGGTCAATGCGATTTTTAAAAAAGGGACTAAAATCGACTAGGATCTTTTTGGATTTTTTAAAGATATTTTTTTAATTCCTTTTTTTTTGTAAATATATTTTTCAAAGACAAAAGATCGGTGGTTTTTTTTAATTATTTTTAAAGGGCTTTTTTCAAAATATTTTGTGAATTACCAACAGTGAGCGTAGATTTTTTTCAAGGACTAACAAGACACATGGAATCAATTCTTTCCATTTTAGCGGTTAACCATTTTTGCGGTTAACCATTTAAAAAAGGACAAGGATTAAACTAGATCCAAGTTTTATAAATAAAAAAATTACCATATACAAGGTTAGACCAGATTTCGAGAGTTATCATGCGAACCAGACAGTCAGACAGCGAGACGGTGGGGAACCACTAAATCGACGACAAATGTCCCGAAATTGATTTCGTCAAAAAAGACTTAGGGTCTAAATCCGTTATTTCGATGGCACATGTTTTGACTCTTTGTCATCGTACACCTCAAAAACCCTAACATCAAAATCGATTTTAGTCAACTTTGGTTTAAAAAGTCAAATTCGAAACTGTCGAAAATTCGACTTTTTGGTAGAAGTGAGACTTCGAAAATTTACAGAGTGCATATTTGCTAACATTATCTGATTTAGTTACAAAAAAAAGCCTTGAAAAGCTATTCTTAAAAAAAATACGATTGTCCTGAAAAATACTTTAAAAAAATCAAGTCTGCGGAGGATCCATGAAAAATATTAAAAAAAAATCCACGTTTATGGAAAGTCCTTGGAATTTTTTTTTTTAAATATTTCCCTAAGACAAAAATGAAAAAATATTTTTTCAAAAATCGAAGTCTGTGCATAGCTCTTAAAAAATTTAAATAAAAAATCCACGTTTTGTGGGTAGTCCTCGAAAAACTGTTTTTGAAAAAATTCACATTTGTGGACAATCCTAAAAAAATATTTAAAAAAAAAATCCTGTTTTATGAATAGTTCTAAAAATATCTTTAAAAAATCCAGGGTCAAGAAAGGTTTTTGAAAAGTATTTTTTAAAAATTCTAGGTTTTTGTAAAGTCGTGGAATGAACTTTTAAACAAGTAAAAAAGCAGTAAGTTCGGCCGTGTCGAACTTTGAATACCCTCCACCATTCGGAACGAATTTGGAAAATTTCAAAAAAAAAAAATACGTTAAAAATTCTGTTAAAATTTTAAAAGTACCGAAAAATGCCGTTCTATCGGGATCTATGCGATGAAGTGGACCTGCATAGGCAACTTTTGTCATAAGCCATTACAATATTCAAATACGAAACTTGAAAAAATCATGTGAATAAATCATCAAAATACCGAATATAGGGAGGTACTGATATATGGGGCCTATACGAAGACCTGAACCTGCATAGATAATTTTCTGCCTTAGGCTATAGTATCCATTACGAACTTCAAATACCAAATTTGAAACAATTCCAGTGAATAATGTCCCTAAAATCGTCAAAATATCGAATATCGGGAGGTACCGTTATATGGGGGCTATAAGAAGACGTGGACCTGCACATACAATCTTCTGTCATAGGCTGTAGTACTCATTAAGAATTCTAAATACGAAATTTGAAACAACTCCGGTAAATAATGTCGCTAAAATCATCAAAATATCGAATATAGGGAGGTACTGATATATGGTGCATGGACAATTTCCTGTCACAGGCTGTAGTACCCATTACGAACATCAAATACCAAATTTGAAACAATTCCAGTGAATAATGTCCCTAAAATCGTCAAAATATCGAATATCGGGAGGTACCGTTATATGGGGGCTATACGAAGACGTGGACCTGCATAGACAATTTTCTGTCACAGGCTGTAGTACCCATTACGAACATCAAATACCAAATTTGAAACAATTCCAGTGAATAATGTCGCTAAAATCGTCAAAATATCGAATATCGGGGGGTACGGTTATATGGGGGCTATACGAAGACCTGAACCTGCATTGACAATTTTCTGCCTTAGACTATAGTATCCATTACGAACTTCAAATACCAAATTTGAAACAATTCCAGTGAATCATGTCGCTAAAATCATCAAAATACCGAATATCGGGAGGTCCCGTTATATGGGGGCTATACGAAGACGTGGACCCACAAAGACATTTCTCTTCCAGGTGGTAAAGTGCTTAAAAAGAACTTCTCGCATGGATTTTTAAACAATTCCATTCAAACAATTTAGCTAAAATCATCAAAATGCCGAATATCGGGGGGTACCGTTGTATGGGGGATATACGATATCGTCGACCTATATAGACAATACTCTTCCAGGGGGTAAAGTACTCAGAAAAAACTCCTTGTGTAGATTTTCAGGAAATTTCATTGAAAAATTTGGCTACAATTATCGAAATACCGAATATCGTGGGGTACCGTTATATGGGGGCTATACGATATCGTGGACCGATATAGCCCATCTTCGACTTGAACCTACCTGCAGACAAAAAACTGATCTGTGCAAAATTTTAGCTTCCTATCTTTATTCGTTTCGACTCTAGCGTGATTACAACAGACGGAAAGGTGGACGGACGGACGGGCTACCAATAGCCTGCCACAGCTTAAACCCCATACATTTCTAAAATCCTGAATCCTCCTCCTCCCTGAATCCTCCTCCTTTTCTTTTTTCTGCCTATCCAAAAATCATTGACGCAAAGCCCCCCCCATTACAACCGGCTGGCCATCCAACGGCCACATCCCCCCAATGGCAAACAACAACCATGTCAATAGCCATAAATCCTTATCTAAACTATTAAGACAACAAATAATTTTATTTACAATATTTAAACAATAATTATGAGCAGCAGATACCCGCTGGTGCAAGTGCTACCCCCTTTCATCCCTCCCCCTCCCTCCCCTTCAACCAATCATTTAAATCATTAATAATGCGATTTCATCACAATAATTATTCAAAATTTAAACATTTTGTTTTGGCAAAAATAATTATAAACATTTAATTTTAAGAGAGAAAAAAAAACACAACAACAACAAGAAAATGAAATCAAGCAAATCATTACCTTTAGCTGATGACGTAGACCACTCATTGGGCTCATTCAAAACTCAACACTTTACACGATCAACAATTCTATTTGCTTGGCGCTTTTCAAAAAAATTGAATTCTTTGGGTAAATCTATTTTTTGTTGTGTATTTTTCAAATATAGATATCAACAATTTAAACTAATTTTCAAAAGATAAGAAAGGAAAAAATATTTATTGCAAAATTCTTAACAACATTTAACAATTGAAGAGGGTCAGACACAACGAGGAGTCTGATAATTGAAATATTTTGCACTTCACTTGGAATATCTTTTTAATTTTCAAATTTCATGTGTATTTGTTTTAATATTTTTTTTTAAATTTTTATTTTTTTTTTATCCACTCCTTTTTTTATTTTTAAAAAAATATAAATTTTATTTCACATTTAAATCTATTTTATTTAAGTTTTATTATTTTCTCAAATCACTTTTATTTCATTTTTATTTTCATTTTTTTTTTTTTTTTTTTTTTTTGCAAACCGCCACGTATTGATCGGAAATCCAATTCAAAATCTAGTTACTCGTTTGCCGTTATTTATTTCTTTTTTGAGGGTTGTTTACCGGACCACGTTGATTCTGAAAATAAAATTGTTTTCAAAATTTTTCAATCGCCCAACTAAAGACTCATAAAACAAAACGCTTTTTGTCTGTTTGAATTTTCAGTTGGTTGTTGTTGTTGTTATTATTGTGTTTTTTTTCCCTATTTGTTGTTGTTGTTAGGTCAGGGCGAAAAGCGAATTCAGCTGCTCGGCGACAGACAGACAAACAAACAAATAATAATAAAAGTAAACAAAGTAAGAAAAGAGACGAGATCTCTTAAAATTTATACTCAACAAATAATTTAAAAACAAAGTTCGAAGAGAGAGAGAGAGAGAGAGAGATAATGAGAAAGAGAATCAGACAAGATCAACAGGCAAGGTTGCCAACAAAAATGACAGAATCTAAATATTTTAAAAATATATTCTAAAAATTCAAAAACTATGTTCTAATATTATGCTTTGCAAAAGTTGTTATAAAAAAAGTTAAAACAAAAGTCCGAAAAAATTCCACGCATTTCTCGAATAATTTTACACATTTCTTGAAATTCCACAAAAAATAGGTTTGTTTATCCATATCCTTAATTGTCAATTTCAAATGCCTAAAAAATCAGTAATTAGAAATTTCGAAAAATTTTTGATATATTTCCGAAGTCCTTAGAAAACGTTTATTTTTCGGCTGGAAAGTTTGCGAATAAAAATAGACCAAAAATGTGTTGTTAAAAAAATACTAAACATTTTTATATTACAAAATCTGCGACCATTAAAAATTTTAAAAAATTACAATATTTGAAATTTTCGAAAAACGTTCAAAATTCTTGGAATTGCCAACAAAAGATTTTTTTAATTAAAAAATTTTAGAAGAATTTCCTTAGTTTTTTTTAATCCGCGATATATATTCAAAAAAATATCACTGTACAAATCTAAGATTTTTAGGATTTTTTTCCGGAAAAAATCTTGAATAATATCAGACAAACGATATCTTGACAAGAATTTCATAAACATTTTTCCTAAAAAATCTACTATTTTTAATATAAGAATAAAAATTCTAAAAATGCGTCGGATCTTAACCCTTGAAAAAATATTTAATAAATTCACCATTTTAATCAGGAGTTTCATGGCAAATTTTTATAACCTTTTATAACAATCTAAAAATTTTGCAAAGAGAATCTAAGTATACCTATTTTTTGGCCAAAAGTGATTGGAACTAAAAAATCCTGATATTTTTACCAAAAGTGATTTAATAAAATACACGATTTTCAGCTAAGACTATAAGAAACTCTTATTTTTTAAGTTAGTCCTAGACATGAAGGGTCTAGGACAAATAATTTTAGGCGTTACAAGCTTTTTACCCCAATCAAACTTATAATAAACATAGGTATAAAATATTTTTAAAAATCCACTATATTTTTTAAATGCATTAGCAAAAAAATTTTCAAAACAAATCAAAGATCTGACAAACTTAAAAAATATTTTTAAATAATATTTTAAAAATTCGATGGCCTCAAAGACATTTTTTAATGTTTATAAATATTTCAAGACCTAGAATGACTTACTTCAAATTTAAAAAATTATGCAATATTCAAATAATATTTTTAAAAATTACATTTCAAAAAAAACCTTAAAAATACATTAAAAAAAAAACAAAAAATAACGACAAAAAATTAGTGTGGAGTTGAGAAACTGTTTTTAATAAAAACACAAGGCTCCAAAAATATTTTTAAAAATTGAAAAAAATTAATAGTCTGCGATATTGGATGGGTTCATAAAATATAATTAAAACTATTTTTTTTTTTAAATCGCTCAATTTTGGAATGGCAATGACTTGGCTGGATTCAAGACTTTGATATTTTTAAAAATTTATGATTATTTTTTTAAATTTCAATTTAGGATAACTTAAACCAGTTTAAAATAATATTCGTAAAATAAAATTAAAAAATCCATATACATTCAAAAAATCTACAAAAAAAATCATTACTTGGAATGAATGAAGAAATATTCCAAATAAAACAAGCAAAAAAGCATCATCACCCACCATTTAAAATAAATTTGAAAATTTTCAAAAAAAAAGAAGTGAAAAATAAATTCCATTAAAATCTTAAAAATACCGAATGTTGGGAGTTACCATTATATTGGGATCTATACCAAGACGTGGACCTGCATAAGCAATTTTTGTCATAGGCCATTACAATATTCATACACCAAACTTGAAACAATTTCGGTGAATAATGTCGCTGAAATGATCAAAACACAAAATATAGAGAGGTAACGTTATATGGTGGATTTACAAAGACTTGGTCCTGCGTACGCGATTTTTTATTATAGGTTGTAGTAAACATTACGAACTTTGAATACAAAATTTGAAACAATTCTGGCGAAACATCATCAAAATACCGAATATTGGAAGGGGCTATATGAAGACGTGGGCATCCATTTACGAACTTATCTTCCCTACTGGCAAAATGCATATGTGTGCATAATTTTAGTCCGCTTCCGTTTAGTGCCGCTGATCCAGAATATATATACTTTGTAGGTTCTATCATGAATATTTCGAGGAGTTACAAACGGAATGACAAAGCTAATATACCCTGCATAGAATGGTGGAGGGTATAAAAATTGCTCAAATTGGGTGGACTTAAAAAATAATTCAATGACTTAGATGGACTCAAAAAAATATTTTTAGATATTGTAATATTTCAAAGAAAATTAAAAAATGACACGACATGGAAAAATTTAAAATATATTTTATTTAAATTTCAATTAAGATGCCTTCTTATATTTTTAGAAAATCCATTTAAATTAAAAAAATATTTTTTAATTTAAATTTAGGATGCCCTAAAAAGATTAAAACAATAATAATAACAAATCACGTCTTGAAATGACATAAAGAAATGTTCAAGTCGGATATAAATTTACAGTCTTCAAAATTTCAAACAGATCGAATTCTTTTTTCGATTTTTATGAAAAATTTAATTCCTAAAAAAATATGGGTTTGTGGCGGCTATTTTAAGGGGCCGCATTGAGTGTTAAAGTAAATGGCAACACTGCATTGATGCGATAAACTACCGGCATGACGGAAATCATTGGTGCACAAATCATTACGTTTTTTGTGCTTCGCTTAAGAGATCGATAAATTCACATATTTTCTCTCATTATCATTACTCTGAAAAAATGTGTATTTTTTATTCTCTTGTTCTCTTCGGAAAAACTCTTATTGAAATTCAAAAAACAATTGTCTCTTTGTTTTTGATTTGTTAATACAGTAAATGTTCTCTTATAGGAAACATATTTTGTTTTTCCAACTCTTTGTCTCTTAGCTCTCTTCTCTTCGACTCTTTTCGAGGAGATCTAAGAGTGTTTTTATGGTGATTATATTTGAATTATTTGCTTTCTATGTTTGTCATTTATTTGCGGCTGGCCTGCATTTCATTTTGTTGACTTGCTCCCACCAGTCCGTCTGTGTTCAAGAAGAAAATATCTGCTATGGCAGATATATCTTTTCCTCGAAATCGTTCGTTATGACTGTTTGCAGTTGTTATTATTTTTTTCGTATTTGCTTTTTGCGCCGTTTGATGTCGTTTGTTGTCTCTGTGCTTTTTTTTTGATACTTCTTTTGTACTCCTTGGATATTTGCGCCGCAATAGCAAAGCTATTATAAATCTTGATGCCAAGATTTATGCCTTGGAAATATGGTTGCGTTGAGAGAACGAAGTCATCCAATCCGGCAGAGAGGCAGCCAGGCAGTCATTCAAACAGCCGGGTAAATTCATCAACCATATGAACTCGAAAGTGAGATAAATTGTTTCCATTTGGTTAGTCATTTGTTTGGGTTATTATTTTTGTTGTTGTTGCGGGTATCCACCACCACACACCAATAAAATTGCAATTTAATTTTTAATTTACAAATTTTCGGTCAATAAAAAATCGCCCGAACAAGTTCAAATGTTAATTGAAAAAAAAAAAAGGAAAAGAAATGATAAAATCAAGGCAAATATTGTTATTCTGTTTATTTTTGGAAGATTATTAAAAAATTAAATGTTTGGCTATGCATGCACACTCTATTTTATGTGGGTAGGGCGCGTATGCGTAATGACGGCACGTATACGTGTGGGGGGATATGATTGTGAGTTATTTAAATTTTTTTAAATATTAAAAATCAAAATGAAAAATTGGAAAAAAAAATTTTATGGCTTCAAAACAACTTTTTCAAAAAAAAAAAATAATAATAAAAAAATATTTAAAAATTTAAAAAAAAAAAATAATAATAAAAAAATATTTAAAAATTTAAAAAAAAAACAATTTGAGATTTTTAATTATTTGAAATGCCTTAAAAATATACCAAAAAAATTCCATTAAAAAATTAATAACCAGTAAAGGATGTCTTAGAGTCGGGCGGGTCGACTTTATGATACCCTACACCATTTTGAATATTTAGTAGAGCTCCGTATAACAATTAAAAATTGTTATGGGAGAATTTAATCATACACGCTATGATTATAATTATAATTTAAAGTTGAAAGGACTAAATATGCCGAAGCATTTGTATATTTTAAATTCGGACTTGTATTGCCCATTTGGTGCACAACTAATTTGAAATCAGATAAAGATATATATATGGGAGCTATATCCAAATCTGAACCGATCTCGATAAAATTTGGCAAAAATATTTCTGAACTGTATTTGATATATTTCCCTGAATATCGTTGATACGGAGTGCATATGACGATATTGGGTAACAAATATAACAAATCGAATGAACAATATATATGGGAGCTATAGAAAGAATTGTATCAACCTTCTATAACTCGTTCGGAAGCCAGAGTGATTTTCACAGACGGACAGACAGACGTACGGACATCGCTGTGGGGTCTAAAATTTATATTTCGAGGTGTTACAAACGGCAGGACAAACTTAATATACCCCCCATACTATGGTGGAGGTTATAAAAAAATCAAAGTATCTACAAAATCTTAAAAATACACGACTCCAGAAAAATGAAATGAAATTAATTTCTTGGAATATCGCCAGAAAAAAATTCTAAAAAATCCATTGGTAAAAAAATGAAATATTTTTTTCTTAAATCCAACACGTGGCAGGTTATCAGGGATATGGACCCCTGCCAT